ATGATACTTCTGTTTCCGTTGAGAATGAAATCAATTTTCAATTTGTTTCAGTATATAGTAGCAATTACTATAATCTGAAATAGAATAAGAATGAATTTCAAAAGTGAGAAAGGCTGTGAACTCAGAAAAAAAAATCGAAAACTTCAAGAATAAAAAGTTTAAAATATTCTAAAGCAGTAGACTCGAATACAAATATAAATAAAACAACTCATAAATTCATATTATACTTACAAGGTAACACTTATGGCGAACATAAAGGCAAACGTGAGAGAGAGTGCTAGTTTCATCTTGACCAAAATTAGAGCACCAGAAACCAACTGATGGCCAAGCTATAGTTCCATTTCCTTAAATACAATTTGCCCAGCCAATTTCTCAGTGAGAGGGGAAATCATACGATTTTCTAAACACCTGTGGATGAGCAATTTTGGCAGACGGAGCTCATTATGACTTCAAGAGAATTCAGATAACTTTTGAAAAACAATTACAAATCAGTACTGGAACAGGTGATAATCGCAAGAATAGTCATCCGCTATGAAGTTATTATTCATTTTTGATAAAATTATGTCTGGAAGTTGTCGAAGTCGAGCAGGTAGCTGCTAAACACCTCATCAACACAGGTGGTTAGATATCGCAATATTCGTCACTCATTTAGTGAAATAATAAATCATGCCCCTGATGAAGTCATGACTCATGAAGTAGTCGAAAACAATCGACAATTAGCACTTATTTCAACCTGATAACGAAAGAATTCCACACATTGAAATGTGTAAATATGTTTTCGATTTCTTTCTGTTACTATTAAATGTTTATTCTCATAGACTTTTCACATTTTTTCAATTCAAGAAGCCACAAAAAATATTGACGCATTCTAAAATTAAAAAATGCCAACGTGGAAACTGTCATACCATAATCCTGGTGTGAGAAAGAATCCCCAAACGATAATTTTCAGATTAAACTTCGCTTCCTTTGAAAAATGATAATAATAACTTCTCATTTACCACTCGATTCCGTTTTAACAAAATACAGGTTGCCGATTTGAAAATTTTCACCCTCAATTTTTCTTTAAGGAAAGAAGGGGAGACGTGTCAATTCAGTCGTCTCATGGTTCAACATGAAGTGGAAGTTTTCATCAAAATTTTGAATAGTGAGGTGAGTGAAGTGACATATCTTTGTAAAGAGGGTTTGATATTCTTATACCTATATACTTTTATCGTATATGAACATTAACATAGCTGTCAGAAGTAGTTTATTCATTTTCTGATGATGCTAACTGGGTTAGCAAAACGGGCTTCGAGAGGGAGCTTTTTTACTTTTGAGGAAAAAGTATCCCTACAAAGTTTGTTCAGAATCAATAAATTTATAAAAATCAGGAAATGAGTGTTCATTTTTAAAAATCGAACAAACTATGAATGAACTTTTTATAGT